CATCTTCTGCATTATAAACTCAGTCAATCCAAGGCTTTTGCTTTCACTTTCAGCACAGCTTAAAATTTATAGTAGGAACTGCTAACTGCTGTTAAGTGGATTAAAAAAAAATTCATTACTTGAAACCCCACCCCCACCCTGGTTATTAAATAAAACAGTTCTTTTTTTACTTTTAGAGTAACAGCATCTAGCTTTCCAGACTCTTAACAATCTTTTCCAACCAGAAGATAAAGGAGTTTCATGAAATTAGTAGAGAATGCACAATGTGTACATTTATATAATATCCAAGTCATTGCTTCAAATTTGAGAACTCTAGGACATTTTCTGGCAATTCTTTGTTGAGTACATATGATAAATGTCTTGAGGTCATGTCAGATCTTTCTTATCAAACATCAAGGAACCTAGAAACTGGATAATTAGAGCAACTCAGAGCAGTCTAATTTTTTTAACCTGTCCAGATCAATAAATATTTTCTCTAAGTTTCCACCAGATCAGCGGTTACCCTCTGAGATTCTCTTCAAGGAGCAATGATTTCTACTCTTCTGTTAATGCTTAACAGGCCTCAGGTGACAGAAATGCTGGGGAAGAACAGCCAAAGCAAAAAGGTTTATTGGTTTATCAAAGTCTTCAGATTTTTAGGGTTCTAGGCCTGGTACTCAGCAGAGCCAAAGTGGAAAGTGGTGTTTTCTGTCATGGGGTTTTGCTATGTCACTGTGTCACTAGCACTTCTCATATAACATGTCAACAATGGCAAGTACATTTACAAAAATGGTCAATATGATTAAGAATGAAATTTGTAAAACTGACCAGGTTAAAAATAATACTGGTAAATTTGACACAGCGTTGTGGAATGACTATTACTCAATAAAAAAAAGTAAAAAAGAAAATAATAATAATAATAATAAAGGCAACTTCATAAGAAAAACAATTTAAAAGATGGAATAAACAAATTAACTTGAATCCCTCTATTAAATAATCAAAGATCTGTATAAAACTTAAGAATCAAAAGTGTAGATTGCAATAGACATTTTTTTCTGTGGGACACAAAGAGGAGTAAAGTTTCTTAAAGAGATTTCAAAATGACTGCATTCGACATAGAAAGGTTCATTGTAAAAGTTCAATTTTGATAAGTATTTCTCTACTATATTGATACTTTATCTTCATATCAGGAATTTTTCTTAGCCTTCAAATTTTAAGGAAATAAATAAATTTGAAAGGATGATCTATTTTTTTCTTCTTTTTTATACATTATAATGTCTAATGCTTCCATGACTTTTTAAGGACATAGTAGGGCATGTTTTCTTATGTTGTTATGCCCAAGGTCTCTGAAATCTTCTTAAGATTTTGTCATATAACAAAACACACCTTTCAAGCTGGATAACAAATAACTGTGTCTACTTTTTAAAATGTCTGCAACAATGCCATTAGAACTCCCTAAAATAAAAAAGGGTTGTACAGATGGCCTTTAGAGGAAATTTCACAGGTGCTGAGTCAAAACTGTGATCGCCAATAGATAAACAAGTTCATACCACATAGCACAGGGAACTATATTCATTACATTGTAATAACTTATGTTGAAAAAGAGTATGAAAATAAATATATGTATGTTCATGTATGATTGAAGCATGGTGCTGTGCACCAGAAGTTGACACAACATTGTAAACTGACTATACTTCAATTAAAAAATATACATATACACACACACACATACAAAACTGTGATCTCCAGAAAACTTTGTGCATGTGTGTAAATTCTATTAAATCATCAAGAGCACTTTGGATATTCCAAGTTAGCAGAGTTTCCACCCATTTCTTTTAAAGACTTTTCCATAGTCATTTTTCTTCCCATTGATGAATTCACTAACTCTGAATTCAAATATTTCCCTTTATCCTATCATCTTTCTGGCAAGCCTTTGGGTAACTGCTTTCCTGAAAGACTGTGCTTTTTCAAAGATAACCAAAATGCTTTAATCTTCATATTGTATCAATTGATCGCTTCCAATAATCAAATTTTCCCTTGAAATTGTAGTTAGTGATTCTCTCAGGCCATCTGAAACACTGGAATCTGCACATGACAGCAGTCATACTATTCAAAACATTCTCCCCCACATGTCACTAAGAGGAAAACTACCCACCCTGGAGTATAGCTATTAATGTCAAACAGATTGTCATCTGAGAAAACAAAAGTGCATCAAAATCAGCTTCGGACAAAGTACAGCCCTATGGAAAACACAAATTTTTTATGTGCAAACGTCTGAAGTGTCTAAAATGTTTGAAGAATGAGTTAGGAAGGAATCTGCTCTTGGTCTCTCTCCTTAACCTAGAACAACGTTGTAATGAAAAGAGTTTTTGAGTTAAAGGGTTTTTCATCATAGCACACTATGATTTTACCAAAGATACATTTGCACTAGTTTCTAGTAAACATTATAAAGAAATGCTTAATTTCTAACTGGGCCGAGGGCTCTATTTAGCCTATCAAAGAACAGACCTGTTATAAAAGCTGGGACGTTCGCCAGAAATTTTTTTCCCTGCAATTCTTAGTAAAGATCATACCTCGAAAGCACTGTGCCTTGCAAACCACGCAGATTTAAGCTCCCACTCCCGCCTACAGAGCTTGGCAGCAGCGGTTTTTGACGTATCCCGCATCTCCTAAAACTCAGACTGAATCGCCACCACCACTCCCCACCCTCCCACCACCACCACTGTGCCATCATCCTTGCTCAGCTCTCCACAGCTCAGCACACACCGTCCCCAAAGCCCCTGCAGAGTGAACTCACGGTGCCACCCAACTGCCAGCCCGACGCACACCCACAAACACTCTCCGACTCCCTCCGCTGCAAACTGCCCCAAATTTGTCACCCACCTCACCCCTAATCCCATACCCCCACGCCTCTGTCGCTTTTTCCCTCCTCCTGGTGGCTTCATCCCCAATACACCTGTCTGCTCCTACGACTGCCAGACGTCAGGTGCCCACGCTGCGCCTTATACGGTGCCCCCTCAGTCCAACTGGCGCTTCCCACTCCGCCCCGAGGAAGGTCAGTTTGCTCGTAGCACCTTCCCCCCTCAGCCCTGGTGCCCACACGCAGACCGCCCCCGACTCCCACCCTCGCGGGCGTGGAGCAAGGAGCGCCCGCCGTACCTGTGGAGAGCGCGGCGGCCGC